GGAAGGAGGAGGAGAGGGAGGAGGAGGAGAGGGAGGAGGAGAGGGAGGATGAGGAGGAGAGGGAGGAGGAGGAGGAGGAGAGGGAGGAGGAGGAGGAGGAGGAGAGGGAGGAGGAGGTGGAGGAGAGGGAGGAGGAGGAGAGGGAGGAGGAGGAGGAGGAGAGGGAGGAGGAGGGGGAGGAGGAGGAGAGGGAGGAGGAGGAGTAGGAGAGGGAGGAGGAGGAGGAGAGGGAGGAGGAGGAGAGGGAGGAGGAGGAGAGGGAGGAGGAGGAGGAGGAGGAGGGGGGAGGAGGAGGAGGAGGAGAGGGAGGAGGAGGAGGAGGAGGAGGAGAGGGAGGAGGAGGAGAGGGAGGAGGAGGAGGAGGAGAGGGAGGAGGAGGAGGAGGAGGAGGAGAGGGAGGAGGAGGAGAGGGAGGAGGAGGAGGAGAGGGAGGAGGAGGAGGAGGAGGAGAGGGAGGAGGAGGAGAGGGAGGAGGAGGAGGAGGAGGAGGAGAGGGAGGAGGAGGAGGAGAGGGAGGAGGAGGAGGAGGAGAGGGAGGAGGAGGAGGAGAGGGAGGAGGAGGAGGAGGAGGAGAGGGAGGAGGAGGAGAGGGAGGAGGAGGAGGAGGAGGAGAGGAGGAGGAGGAGAGGGAGGAGGAGGAGGAGGAGAGGGAGGAGGAGGAGGAGAGGGAGGAGGAGGAGGAGGAGGAGGAGAGGGAGGAGGAGAAGGAGAGGGAGGAGGAGGAGAGGGAGGAGGAGGAGAGGGAGGAGGAGGAGGAGAGGGAGGATGAGGAGAGGGAGGAGGAGGAGAGGGAGGAGGAGGAGGAGAGGGAGGAGGAGGAGGAGAGGGAGGAGGAGGAAGAGGAGGAGAGGGAGGAGGAGGAGGAGGAGGAGGAGAGGGAGGAGGAGGAGGAGGAGGAGAGGGAGGAGGAGGAGGAGGAGGAGAGGGAGGAGGAGAGGGAGGAGGAGGAGAGGGAGGAGGAGGAGGAGAGGGAGGATGAGGAGAGGGAGGAGGAGGAGAGGGAGGAGGAGGAGAGGGAGGAGGAGGAGGAGGAGGAGAGGGAGGAGGAGGAGAGGGAGGAGGAGGAGAGGGAGGAGGAGGAGGAGGAGAGGGAGGAGGAGGAGAGGAGGAGAGGGAGGAGGAGGAGAGGGAGGAGGGGAGAGGGAGGAGGAGAGGGGGGAGGAAGGGGAGGAGGAGGAGGAGGAGGAAGAGGAGAGGGAGGAAGGGGAGGAGGGGAGGGGGAGGAGGAAGAAGAAGAGGACTGAAGAGGAGAGGCAGGAGGAGGAGGAGGAGGTCTTAAAGGAGCGGTACCTGTTTCTGCTGTTGGTGTGTTTTTCAGGTTGAATGTTAAGCCCCGCCCCCACAGACTTCTCATTTCCCCGACGCTCTCCTCCCGCGGAGCCATCATGTTTTATTTGAGATCTGATACATACGCTAACATTAGCAACAGCAACAACGAGCGTGGCCTGGAGGAGGCGTGGCTAGCGGAGGCGTGGCCTAGAGGAGGCGTCGCCCTGTTCGTACAGCGCCACTCCTCAATCTGTGATTGGAGGAGAGCGGGTGTCACGCTAAGTCTCTCAGCACTTCATACACCGCTGAATCAATGAGCTCAACTTTTACATTACATTACGGATTATAAATAAAAACATTTGTTTGTAGTAATAATCATTCATTTATGAACTCATTAGAAATAAATCGGGTAAAGCTTCTTTAAATCTGGTGCAGACTCTGTAACGTCACTGCGGCTCGACTCTCCACTGTTTGAAATGTGTCCAGCAACATTATTTTATTTTAAAAAATAAATAAAAATATTTCTGTCGTTATAGAATTTAATTTGATATTCATGATAAAACCTGGACCAGTCTTCCCCTGTAAATGTGAGGACATTGAAGGATTTTATCTTGACTCTTTTTCTGTGACTGTTTCCTTTGAGTTATTAACTGTGCTATACAGATAAACTCGCTTCACTGCAGCCCTAAAAATGGGTCAAATGTTTAGAAATGGTTTAAGGATTTGATGTATTTGGTATAATTTCTCACATTTGTTTAAATGTGTTGTTTTTGGGGTCCCGCCTCTGAGCAGGGGCGTCCAAACATTTTAGTCAGAGCCACTTTCACCATCGGGCCGTTCTGAGCTTCAAAATGATCTGCAACAGAGCTGAAGTTGGCTGAATGACACATGTTTACCATCTCATCAGCAACATTAACAGAAGTAAAGTTTGTACAAAGTCTGAATCCCAGAAACTGTAAAAAGTGTCAGTTTTCAGTCCCATCGACTTCAGCTGGTTTTTAACTTATAAAGTTTATTGAATTCAATTTGACAGAATGTAAAACTATAACTTTGAAGTGATTGATTTACGTAAAACTTGTGTTCATTCAAAGTAACGTTCCCGCTCCTGGAGGAAGTTTGTTAGATTAAAGCTAACAGACCCCGGGTCCTGTCGATTACGGTAAAAATAAATACAATTACTTATTTGATCAAATTAATTCCCACCTCTGCACCTTCTCCACCGACTCCCACTGATGACTGCTGTCGTTGTGTCCTTGGGCAAGACACTTAACCCCACTTTGCCCAAAGCCCCCACTGAAAGATCAAGGCTATGCTCACAGTCAGAGAGCAGCCGTCCTCCTGTGGACTCACCACCTGCAGAGGGTCAGTGAGGGGCTGGTGCATCTCTGACTGCCACCCCCCTGACCCAGGAATGGATTAAAGGGAAGAAAATGGATGGATGGATGGATGGATATTTGATCAAATTAATTTATTCAAAATATTGCTCAAGTGTTTTGCTTTAGCACTTACTTCATATTCACTCTTAAAATTAATGCTTCAATGTAGAATTTTTAAGAAGTTAATATTTTGCTCTGCAATGCATTCTGGGTAGGGTCACTGCTTTGCCAAATTTTGTTTTCAATCAGCACAATATATTTGTTTGTCATTAATGTAACTTCAGGATTACAGAAGAAATACTTAAAGTATTTTCACTTAAAGCAGTAGACTCAGTATTGTACAGGGAGCTGTGATAATGTTATACAGAATGTTACTTATTACAGTGAACTGAGCTTTAGAACGAGGTCTATGTGGGCTGAGCTGAAGTTGGATGGATGACACAGTGAACTCGTGTGTATGATCTCAGAGACTACTGTGGGTTAGGAAAAGACAGAGGGCCACAAAAAATGACACTGAGGGCCACAATTGGCCCCGGGGCCTGAGTTTGGACCTGCCTGAGCTCATGTAGCGTCCTGCGAGTTCCCGAGTTACAAAACACCAACAAACAAATAAATGTGAAGTTTTGTAAATAAAGATATTTGAATTGAATAGAGTTGAATAGAGTTGAATGGCCCTCAGAGCTGTGGAAGTGGACCACACCGGTGTGTCGTTCACTTTCAGTTTGACAAAAGCTCTTTGTAGCGCCGCGCCCTCATTAGCTCGTTAGCACAGGTTAGCACAGGTTAGCATAGCGAGGCCAGACCTGTCACAGCTGCAGCGGCAGAGGCACGCTCCACGCGGCAAGAGCAACACAGGCTACGGAGCGAGCCCTATTCACACAAGCATTCATCAGTGACGTAAACAGAGAGTCCACTGACACCTGGCTCACCCCCGCCCCCCCCAGCCTCGCCCGGGCCCTGGCCACTCACATGAAAGCGTGTGATTACGAAGGAAATGGGAATTAGCAGAAACGTTTGAGCGCAACGGCCGCCGAAGCTTAGAGCAGAGGAGGGAGCGAGGTCTGGGAGATGTGGCTGATTGGAGTATTCCCCACGGAGCGAGCCGAAGGGGGGGGGGGGGCAGGCCAAAGAGAGGGGGGGGGCAGGCCGGGGTCAGAGCCACAGCAAATTAGTAGTGTCTGTTATTCGAAACCAAAATAAAGCAGCAGCAGTAAATGATTTCCCGCAGTGATGCCGGAGTGGCTTTCCGTGTTCTCTGCTCCAGATTGCCAAAAGGCCACGTCGCAATTAGTGGTTTGTTTCTTTTAGACTGAAATATGGCCATAATTCATAGCTTTCAACCCATCAGATCAGGAAGATGAATTGACTGGTGGAACTGAGGGGGGGATTGGAACACACGATACGCCAATTTGTTCCCCAAGCATCAAGTACACAAGGTATTTGCATAGACATATATAATTCAGCAACGAATAAAAAGCCATTTGTTTCCAGCGGGAGGTAATTGTGAGCTGCCTGAAGGAGTTATGGCCCACACGCCTCCTCCACACGCCTCCTTCAGAGCGGGAGGAGGCGCAGCAGCTGTAATGGTCCAGTTAACGTCAGGATGGAACACAGCTTACATTTTGTTCTTAAAGGAGCAGTCTGTAAACATGTGGTCAACAGTGGTACTGCAGCCTTACTGCGGACTTTCTGATTGGTGAAACGGTGGAGGGCGGGACATCGAAATGAAAACAATAACAAGATTTAGAGGCTGGAAAAGTAATTTAGAAATTCAAATATCTTTGAACTACTGTTATCAGTTAAAGAAGTATTGGAAAAGAGCAGTTTATTATTATGACAGATTAGGGCCCTTTAATGATGACAGATTAGGGCCCTTTAATTATGACAGATTAGGGCCTTTTAATGATGACAGATTAGGGCCCTTTAATGATGACAGATTAGGGCCCTTTAATGATGACAGATTAGGGCCTTTTAATGATGACAGATTAGGGCCCTTTAATGATGACAGATTAGGGCCCTTTAATGACGACAGATTAGGGCCCTTTAATGACGACAGATTAGGGCCCTTTAATGATGACTGGACATGGAAATCTTACATATTAAAGGTAAATGTGCACTTTATTGATTCCCGTAGGGCACTTCATCCTCTGCATTTGACCCTGATGCCCTAAGGCTGACGTCAGGAGCAGTGGTCGCCGTAGCAACAGCGCCTGGAACCCGTCTCCAGATGTTGATGCTGTGGGTCAGGACCAGAGCTGGAGGATTTAACCTACTGAGCATGTTTTTAACGGTAGGGGAAACCGGAGCACCCGGAGGAAACCGACCAGGATTCAAACCCAGGACCTTCTGGCTGAGAGGCGAGAGTGCGGCCTGTAATGCTGCTCTAAGTGAATGCAGTCTGTAGTTTTGGCCTGGATGGGAGCGCGGCCGCAGGTTGATTGTGTTTACGCCACAGACGTTTGAGTTTCCAGCTCTTTCATTTCCTACGGATTAACGTGCTAATCTTCTTGCAATGACTCATTACACTCCATATGTAATAATTGCTGTGTGAAGTAATAATATAAATACAACTGTTTCCATTCATTCTGGCAGAGCCTGGCGTCCTCCGTGCGCCGCGGCCAAAGTGGAGGCAGGACTGAGCTGCTTTTCCGGGTTTTTTTACTCCCTCCATCAAACATGTCCAGACCGTGATGTCAAGAACCTTCGTCCAAAAGCATACGGCAATAATAAATGTGTGACTTTATGCACTTACAATTACTTTTGGGAGGAAGTGGAGTTGTTTAAGATGACCCTGGGGGAGGAGGGGGGTTGCAGCACCGTCCAGAGCCTCCGCGGTCCCCTAATGACACTTAATGATTTAATTGAGTCGAATCATGGAAACATACTTAGTCTGTGGCTCTGACACTGAGCAGAGCAGCTCCATGTGTGCAGCCAGCACTCTCTCCTTTCTCCCCCTCTCTCTCTATCTCTGCTCTCCCTCTCTCCCCCTCTCTCTACTCTCTCCCTCTCTCCTCTCCTCTCTCTCCCCTCTGTCTCTCTCTCTCCTCTCTCTCCCCTCTCTCCTTTCTCTGGTTTCTCCTCTCTCCCCCTCTCTCTTCTCTCCCCCCCCCCCCCTCTCCTCTCCCCCCCTCCCTCTCCTCTCCCCCCCTCCCTCTCCCCTCTCCTCTCTCCCCCCCTCTCCCCTCTCCCTCTCTCTCTCTCCTCTCTCCCCCCTCCCTCTGCCCTCTCCTCTCTCCCCCTCCTCTCTCCCCCCTCCCTCTCCCCTCTCCCCTCTCCCCCCCCCCCCCCTCTCTCCCCCCCCTCTCTCCCCTCTCCCCCCCCTCTCTCCCCCTCCTCTCTCCTCTCTCCCCCTCCCTCTCCCCTCTCCCCCCTCTGTTCTCCTCTTGGCAGACCCTCCCATGTCTCAGAGCAGTGGTCTTTGACATCAGGAGATTCTGAAACTGTTAGAAATCCCAGAGCCGTCATTTTGACTGCTCCCTTTTCACCCGTTTATTCAAAGTAAGTGTCTTTAAAGTGTTTTACTTTCACTCCCTTTTATTAAAAGGTTTTAAATCAGTGTTTGACTTCATTAAATCAGTGTTTGACTTCATTAAATCAGAGTTTGACTTCAGCCAAAACCTCTCCGTGAGTGAAAGTCCTCCTCCACACCCTTCAGACTAAAACTGGTCAAAACAACATGAAATGCAGCAAAAAGAGTTTGTTGAAAGGCTAAAGACAGTGTGTTGCCGTGGTAACTAGCACTAGTGGAACATCACTGGTTTCACTTCTAAGTTCTAGAAAACCCCACGTTTAGAAGAAATCAGCAGTGAGCCCAAAGAGGCACAAAGTGACTCTCAGGGTCTGCCACAAACACAAACGTCTCCTCAGAATGATCCAGGTTCGTCTGTCGCTCACAACATTCACAGACCATGGAACAGACACAGACACAGACCATGGAACAGACACAGACACAGACACAGACATGTTTGTAAATCTGTAACTGATACAAACAGTGAATATAAGTTTTTAAGATCATATTGGTTTTTTTTAACTAAAGTGTTTATTATAATTAAAATAAACAGTTTATCTCTGCATTTATACAGAAAGCTTTAGGTGTGTGCTCTTCACAACGAAGAGATCATGTCGTTTTTAAGAAAATATTGTTTTTAAGATCATATTGTTTTTAAGATCATATTGTTTTTAATATAATATTGTTTTTAAGATCATATTGTTTTTAATATAATATTGTTTTTAAGATATTATAGTTTTTAAGATAATATAGTTTTTAAGATAATAGTTTTTAAGATAATATAGTTTTTAAGATAATAGTTTTTAAGATAATATAGTTTTTAAGATAATAGTTTTTAAGAAGATATAGTTTTTAAGATAATAGTTTTTAAGATAATATAGTTTTTAAGATAATAGTTTTTAAGATAATAGTTTTTAAGATAATATAGTTTTTAAGATTATATTGATGAATGTGTAGAAAGTCTGAACATTAGCATCAGATTTAAACTCTTTTGCTTCCGTCACAGTTTAATGTCCGGGTCAAATAAATGAATAAAGTAAAACACTGACAGCAGACGTTGGTCACATGACGGCCGCTCTGTGAGTCCGAGTCCGAGTCCGAGTGAGTGTGAGTCCGAGTGTGAGTCCGAGTCCGAGTCCGAGTCCGAGTGTGAGTCCGAGTCTGAGTGTGAGTCCGAGTGTGAGTCCGAGTCCGAGTGTGAGTCCGAGTCTGAGTGTGAGTCCGAGTCCGAGTTTGAGTCCGAGTCTGAGTCCGAGTCCGAGTGTGAGTCCGAGTCCGAGTGTGAGTCCGAGTCTGAGTGTGAGTCCGAGTGTGAGTCTGAGTCCGAGTCCGAGTGTGAGTCTGAGTCCGAGTGTGAGTCCGAGTCCGAGTTTGAGTCCGAGTCTGAGTCCGAGTCCGAGTGTGAGTCTGAGTCCGAGTGTGAGTCTGAGTCCGAGTCCGAGTGTGAGTCTGAGTCCGAGTGTGAGTCTGAGTCCGAGTCCGAGTGTGAGTCTGAGTCCGAGTGTGAGTCTGAGTCCGAGTGTGAGTCTGAGTCCGAGTCCGAGTCCGAGTGTGAGTCCGAGTCCGAGTGTGAGTCTGAGTCCGAGTGTGAGTCTGAGTCCGAGTGTGAGTCTGAGTCCGAGTCCGAGTCCGAGTGTGAGTCCGAGTCCGAGTGTGAGTCTGAGTCCGAGTGTGAGTCTGAGTCCGAGTCCGAGTGTGAGTCCGAGTCCGAGTGTGAGTCTGAGTCCGAGTGTGAGTCTGAGTCCGAGTGTGAGTCCGAGTCCGAGTGTGAGTCTGAGTCCGAGTGTGAGTCTGAGTCCGAGTGTGAGTCTGAGTCCGAGTCCGAGTGTGAGTCCGAGTCCGAGTGTGAGTCTGAGTCCGAGTGTGAGTCTGAGTCCGAGTCCGAGTCCGAGTGTGAGTCCGAGTCCGAGTGTGAGTCTGAGTCCGAGTGTGAGTCTGAGTCCGAGTGTGAGTCTGAGTCCGAGTGTGAGTCTGAGTCCGAGTCTGAGTCCGAGTGTGAGTCTGAGTCCGAGTGTGAGTCCGAGTGTGAGTCTGAGTCCGAGTCCGAGTGTGAGTCCGAGTCCGAGTGTGAGTCTGAGTCCGAGTGTGAGTCCGAGTCCGAGTGTGAGTCCGAGTCCGAGTGTGAGTCCGAGTGTGAGTCTGAGTCCGAGTCCAAGTGTGAGTCCGAGTCCGAGTGTGAGTCTGAGTCCGAGTGTGAGTCCGAGTCCGAGTGTGAGTCCGGCCCGAGCCGAGGGTCAGGAGACGCTCCTGAAACAGACTTTATTAAACAACACATTTTTATATTTCTACACAACACACATCTCTGAACTTTAACTTTAGATATTAGAAAAGTTAAAGATACATCATGATTGTTTACTTTGCCTCGACCAGAGAACATGTGTTTGTATTTAGTAAATCACCAACTGCAAACACAGACTGACGCTTCTTTCACTGGTTCTTCAGAGAAACTTTAAAGTGCTGCTCCTACAGGATCCCTCTGCAGCACTTTAGACTCACAGCTGCAGGGTCCTCTTCCGTCTGAGTTTCACCGACTCAGCTTTTACAACTGCAGCAAAACATCAGACTCAGACTGAAAACGTACAATCTTGCAGTGAAAATATGTTTTAGTTGAACCTCTTTAGAAACATAATTTAATTATATATATATATATATATAACATCAACTTTAATCTAAGCACAATCCTAAAAAGGGAACAATATGAAGTAAAAAAGAACCATCTTCAGTGCGGTCAGATTTGTTTCAGAAAAATAAATCTTATTTTCACACTCTTTATTTATTTAAAACGCTTCAATAAAATAAGTTTAAAATGAAAAAACACTTCTCTGAGAAACGGAAAATCTATAAAAATAACAAATGATGAAGTTTGTTTTTCTCGATTGCAGTTTTTCAAAAGTTTATTTTAATAGTTTTAAGATAATAATACTTTTATTATCTTAAAACTTAAAACAAGCTTATTTAAGCTTGTTATTTTTTCTTATTTCCAACTTTTCTTGTTCAGATAAAATATGTTTTTTTCTCGCAAATGTTTAATAAATAAGTCAATAATATTTTAAATGTTTTTAAGTCGTTTGGGAAAAACAGACAGAAAAGTTTCTGTCTGGCTTTTTTCTCACATGACGGAGATTTATGTTTTTTTAATGTATTGTTTCCAGACGTCTCAGAAAAACAAACAGCTTCAATAAAACAAATACATAATTCAATATTTCTCTGGGCTTCATGTTCTTCTCAGTGTTTAGCATTTCTAAATAAAATCTTATAACAAACTTAACAGACAGGCAGCATGTAGCAGGATAGCATCATTAGCATTAGCATTAGCATTAGCACAGACCTAAGACACACTAACCGCCTCATGGCCTCGGACATAACTTCAGTCAACTCTACAAATAAACAGAAAATATGAGGTGAAAACAGCCATCTGCTCGTTAGCCTGCGCGCTTAAGCTAATACGCTAAATTAACAAAGGTTTCTGCATCAATAATCGTCAATCTTCCGTGTCAGGGCGGCCCTCGCACAGGTCAGAGAACGCCACATGTAATCAGAGCAGATCTTAAGCCTCTCTGACCAGTCCCAGATGCTCCTCAGCGTCTCCTGAACGTCTCCTGAGCTCCTCTTGAGCGTCTCCTGAGCGTCTCCTGAGCGTCTCCTGAGCACCTCCTGAGCTCCTCTTGAGCTCCTCCTGAGCGTCTCCTGAGCGTCTCCTGAGCGTCTCCTGAGCACCTCCTGAGCGTCTCCTGAGCACCTCCTGAGCTCCTCTTGAGCACCTCCTGAGCACCTCCTGAGCTCCTCCTGAGCGTCTCCTGAGCACCTCCTGAGCACCTCCTGAGCACCTCCTGAGCACCTCCTGAGCACCTCCTGAGCACCTCCTGAGCTCCTCCTGAGCGTCTCCTGAGCACCTCCTGAGCACCTCCTGAGCACCTCCTGAGCTCCTCCTGAGCTCCTCCTGAGCGTCTCCTAAGTACCATCCTGAGCTCCTCCTGAGCGCCTCCTGAGCGCCTCCTGAGTGCCTCCTGAGCGCCTCCTGAGCGCCTCCTGAGTACCTCCTGAGCGCCTCCTGAGCGCCTCCTGAGCGCCTCCTGAGTGCCTCCTGAGCGCCTCCTGAGCGCCTCCTGAGTACCTCCTGAGCGCCTCCTGAGCGCCTCCTGAGCGTGGCACGTGCTCCTCACATTACCTCATCAAGTCGTGCTCTGGATCCTACAAGAACCGACAGGTCTGACGTGTGGATTATATTCTTCCAGGTAAATGTCACAGACTCACAGACTCACGGCGTGTCTGTCAGTGGCTGTCACAGACTCACAGACTCACGGCGTGTCTGTCAGTGGCTGTCACAGACTCACAGACTCAGGGCGTGTCTGTCAGTGGCTGTCACAGACTCAGAGACTCACGGCGTGTCTGTCAGTGGCTGTCACAGACTCAGAGACTCACGGCGTGTCTGTCAGTGGCTGTCACAGACTCAGAGACTCACGGCGTGTCTGTCAGTGGCTGTCACAGACTCACAGACTCACGGCGTGTCTGTCAGTGGCTGTCACAGACTCACAGACTCACGGCGTGTCTGTCAGTGGCTGTCACAGACTCACAGACTCACGGCGTGTCTGTCAGTGGCTGTCACAGACTCACAGACTCACGGCGTGTCTGTCAGTGGCTGTCACAGACTCACAGACTCACGGCGTGTCTGTCAGTGGCTGTCACAGACTCACAGGAAACAGATCAGCACAGACGCCCAGGAAGGACTGACATTTTATTATTTACCAGACGACATTACATCTACTTTGTCTCTGTGATTTTAGACCTCAATCTTCAGGCTGAGTGAGGCTGACCCTGTGCTCTGTCCCTGTGCTCTGTCCCTGTGCTCACTCAGGGCTAAACTTCATGTCACTGCCTTTTGTGAAGAATCCAGTTCCACGGCTCCTGAAGAAGTGCATTGTATGGCAGCTTCCTGTTTATAAAGTGCTATATAAATAAAATGTGTCTATATAAAGTGCTGTATAAAGTGCTATATACAGTAAGGTGCTATATAAAGTGCTATATACAGTTGTATATAAAGTGCTGTATAAAGTGCTATATACAGTTCTATATAAAGTGCTATTTAAAGTGCTATAAAAGGGCTGTATAAAGTGCTATATAAAGTGCTGTATAAAGTGCTATATGAAGTGCTATTTAAAGTGCTATATAAAGTGCTGTATAAAGTGCTATATAAAGTGCTTTATAAAGTGCTATTTAAAGTGTTGTATAAAGTGCTATATAAAGTGCTTTATAAAGTGCTATTTAAAGTGCTGTATAAAGTGCTAGATAAAGTGCCATATAAAGTGCTATTTAAAGTTCTATATAAAGTGCTGTATAAAGTGCTATTTAAACTTCTACATAAAGTGCTATATAAAGTGCTGTATAAAGTGCTATATAAAGTGCTATTTAAAGTTCTATTTAAAGTTCTACATAAAGTGCTATTTAAAGTGCTGTATAAAGTGCTATATAGTGCTATATAAAGTGCTATATAAAGTGCTATTTAAAGTGCTGTATAAAGTGCTGCATAAAGTGTTATTTAAAGTTCTATATAAAGTGCTATATAAAGTGCTATTTAAAGTTCTATTTAAAGTTCTATATAAAGTGCTATTTAAAGTGCTGTATAAAGTGCAGTATAAAGTGCTATATAAAGTGCTATTTAAAGTGCTGTATAAAGTGCTGCATAAAGTGCTATTTAAAGTTCTATATAAAGTGCTATTTAAAGTTCTATTTAAAGTTATACATAAAGTGCGATATAAAGTGCTATTTAAAGTGCTGTATAAAGTGCTATATAGTGCTATATAAAGTGCTATATAAAGTGCTATTTAAAGTGCTGTATAAAGTGCTGCAGAAAGTGCTATTTAAAGTTCTATATAAAGTGCTATATAAAGTGCTATTTAAAGTTCTATTTAAATTTCTATATAAAGTGCTATTTAAAGTGCTATTTAAAGTGCTGTATAAAGTGCTATATAAAGTGCAGTATAAAGTGCTGTATACAGTGCTATTTAAAGTTCTATATAAAGTGCTATATAAAGTGCTGTATAAAGTGCTATATAAAGTGCTGTATAAAGTGCTATATAAAGTGCTATTTAAAGTGCTATTTAAAGTTCTACATAAAGTGCTATATAAAGTGCTATTTAAAGTGCTGTATAAAGTGCTATATAAAGTTCTATATAAAGTGCTGTATAAAGTGCTATATAAAGTGCTATTTAAAGTGCTGTATAAAGTGCTGCATAAAGTGCTATTTAAAGTTCTATATAAAGTGCCACATTAAGTGCTATTTAAAAAGTTAATTTATAAAAAGTGCTATTTAAAGTGTTGTATAAAGTGCTAAAAAGTAAGTAAGTAATCTTTATTTATATACCGCCTTTTCACTGCAGATCTGAGTCTCAAAGCGGTTTACAATTGTTATTATTTTTGGGCATTTGTCTCTCACTCCACACAGAGATGGGAGCGGGGCCAGTACAGGAGGCACATGCCAGACATGCCTATTGGACATATTTTTAGTGGTAGGGGAAACCGGAGTACCCGGAGGAAACCTACGCAGACACGGGGAGAACATGCAAACTCCACTCAGAAAGGCCCTGGTCCGACCGGGATTCGAACCCAGGACCTTCTTGCTGAGAGGCGAGAGTGCTATCCACTCAGCCAAAGTGCTGTATAAAGTGCTGTATAAAGTGTTATATAAAGTGCTATATAGAGTGCTGTATGAAGTGCTGTATAAAGTGCTGTATAAAGTGCTATATAAAGTGCTGTATAAAGTGCTATATAAAGTGCTATTTGAAGTGCTGTATAAAGTACTATTTAAAGTACTATATAAAGTGCTGTATAAAGTGCTATTTAAAGTGCTATATAAAGTGCTGTATAAAGTGCTGTATAAATAAAAGCTGTGTCCTTTCTCTTAAAGGCACAGAGGTAATTCCTTGTAAAGACTAATCTGCGGCTCCTGAACCACAGAGCGTCACGCTGCATCACAGCTACAGGTTTGTATTTGAACAGAGATTAGCATTGCTGCTACATCGTGTCAGAGCAGCGTGTCTGGGAGTTCAGAGATTAGCTTTGCTTCTACATCGTGTCAGAGCAGCGTGTCTGGGAGTTCAGAGATTAGCTTTGCTTCTACATCGTGTCAGAGCAGCGTGTCTGTGAGTTCAGAGATTAGCTTTGCTGCTACATTGTGTCAGAGCAGCGTGTCTGTGAGTTCAGAGATTAGCTTTGCTTCTACATCGTGTCAGAGCAGCGTGTCTGTGAGTTCAGAGATTAGCTTTGCTTCTACATCGTGTCAGAGCAGCGTGTCTGTGAGTTCAGAGATTAGCTTTGCTTCTACATCGTGTCAGAGCAGCGTGTCTGTGAGTTCAGAGATTAGCTTTGCTTCTACATCGTGTCAGAGCAGCGTGTCTGAGTGACGGAGGCGGAGTCTGAGACTGACTCAAACTCAGGTCCTGTGAGTCTGTATATACTATATACATGTATATATATTATATATACAGTATATATATATGTATAAATATTTATACAGTATTTATATACAGTATACATTTACTGTATACAGTATTTATATACAGTAGTCTCGGAGCAGGTTCAGGAACATCAAAACTACTTCCTGTGATTCATCGAAGCCGACGATGGAACAAACTAAATTAAATTGTATTGAGGATGATTCAAAAAAATAAACAGTCAAGATCAGAACGAGCTGAGGCTCCGACCCAAAAGGGTTCTGTCTGACTCTGGTCCTGACGTCACAGACCCGTGTTTCAGAGGCTCCGACCCAAAAGGGTTCTGTCTGACTCTGGTGCTGACGTCACAGACCCGTGTTTCAGAGGCTCCGACCCAAAAGGGTTCTGTCTGACTCTGGTGCTGACGTCACAGACCCGTGTTTCAGAGGCTCCGACCCAAAAGGGTTCTGTCTGACTCTGGTGCTGACGTCACAGACCCGTGTTTCAGAGGCTCCGACCCAAAAGGGTTCTGTCTGACTCTGGTGCTGACGTCACAGACCCGTGTTTCAGAGGATTATTAAAGGCAGTTTTTGTCACAGTTTGGGTCAATTTTCTCTGGAGCGATTTATGTGAAATTATTACATTTAACGTTTTGAATTAATTTTGTATTTACCGTAAAATACCAAATAATATCGGTCTATTAAGAGCAATACGTGCATCATTTATATTTTTATATTTTATATTTTTATATTTTTATTAACAAATGTATTTTGGTCAAAAATCACCTGTTTTTCATTTCATTTTAAATCTGATGTTCTACATTTAAGTAACAGACGTTACACTAAAAACATATAAAACAGAAAATACTCAACATCGTCAAGAAATGTCTACTTTTGGTGCAAACAGGGGAGCACAGGTACAGACAGAGGAGCACAGGTACAGACAGAGGAGCACAGGTACAAACAGAGGAGCACAGGTACAAACAGAGGAGCACAGGTACAGACAGAGGAGCACAGGTACAGACAGGGGAGCACAGGTACAAACAGAGGAGCACAGGTACAGACAGAGGAGCACAGGTACAGACAGGGGAGCACAGGTACAGACAGAGGAGCACAGGTACAAAGAGAGGAGCACAGGTACAAACAGAGGAGCACAGGTACAGACAGAGGAGCACAGGTACAGACAGGAGAGCACAGGTACAGACAGGGGAGCACAGGTACAGACAGAGGAGCACAGGTACAAACAGAAGAGCACAGGTACAGACAGGGGAGCACAGGTACAGACAGGGGAGCACAGGTACAGACAGAGGAGCACAGGTACAGACAGAGGAGCACAGGTACAAACAGAGGAGCACAGGTACAAACAGGGGAGCACAGGTACAGACAGGGGAGCACAGGTACAGACAGAGGAGCACAGGTACAGACAGGGGAGCACAGGTACAGACAGAGGAGCACAGGTACAAACAGAGGAGCACAGGTACAGACAGGGGAGCACAGGTACAGACAGAGGAGCACAGGTACAGACAGGGGAGCATAGGTACAGACAGGGGAGCACAGGTACAGACAGAGGAGCACAGGTACAAACAGAGGAGCACAGGTACAGACAGAGGAGCACAGGTACAGACAGGGGAGCATAGGTACAGACAGGGGAGCACAGGTACAGACAGAGGAGCACAGGTACAAACAGAGGAGCACAGGTACAGACAGGGGAGCACAGGTACAGACAGAGGAGCACAGGTACAAACAGAGGAGCACAGGTACAAACAGAGGAGCACAGGTACAGACAGAGGAGCACAGGTACAGACAGAGGAGCACAGGTACAGACAGAGGAGCACAGGTACAAACAGAAGAGCACAGGTACAGACAGGGGAGCACAGGTACAGACAGAGGAGCACAGGTACAGACAGAGGAGCACAGGTACAGACAGGGGAGCACAGGTACAGACAGAGGAGCACAGGTACAGACAGAGGAGCACAGGTACAGACAGAGGAGCACAGGTACAGACAGAGGAGCACAGGTACAGACAGGGGAGCACAGGTACAGACAGAGGAGCACAGGTACAGACAGAGGAGCACAGGTACAGATAGAGGAGCACAGGTACAGACAGAGGAGCACAGGTACAGACAGGGGAGCACAGGTACAGACAGAGGAGCACAGGTACAGACAGGGGAGCACAGGTACAGACAGAGGAGCACAGGTACAGACAGAGGAGCACAGGTACAGACAGAGGAGCACAGGTACAGACAGAGGAGCACAGGTACAAACAGAGGAGCACAGGTACAGACAGGGGAGCACAGGTACAGACAGGGGAGCACAGGTACAGACAGAGGAGCACAGGTACAAACAGAGGAGCACAGGTACAGACAGAGGAGCACAGGTACAGACAGGGGAGCACAGGTACAGACAGAGGAGCACAGGTACAAACAGAGGAGCACAGGTACAGACAGGGGAGCACAGGTACAGACAGAGGAGCACAGGTACAGACAGAGGAGCACAGGTACAGACAGAGGAGCACAGGTACAAACAGAGGAGCACAGGTACAGACAGGGGAGCACAGGTACAGACAGAGGAGCACAGGTACAAACAGAGGAGCACAGGTACAGACAGAGGAGCACAGGTACAGACAGGGGAGCACAGGTACAGACAGAGGAGCACAGGTACAAACAGAGGAGCACAGGTACAGACAGGGGAGCACAGGTACAGACAGAGGAGCACAGGTACAGACAGGGGAGCACAGGTACAGACAGAGGAGCACAGGTACAAACAGAGGAGCACAGGTACAGACAGGGGAGCACAGGTACAAACAGAGGAGCACAGGTACAGACAGGGGAGCACAGGTACAGACAGGGGAGCACAGGTACAGACAGAGGAGCACAGGTACAAACAGAGGAGCACAGGTACAGACAGAGGAGCACAGGTACAGACAGGGGAGCACAGGTACAGACAGAGGAGCACAGGTACAAACAGAGGAGCACAGGTACAGACAGGGGAGCACAGGTACAGACAGAGGAGCACAGGTACAGACAGAGGAGCACAGGTACAGACAGAGGAGCACAGGTACAAACAGAGGAGCACAGGTACAGACAGGGAGCACAGGTACAGACAGAGGAGCACAGGTACAAACAGAGGAGCACAGGTACAGACAGAGGAGCACAGGTACAGACAGGGGAGCACAGGTACAGACAGAGGAGCACAGGTACAAACAGAGGAGCACAGGTACAGACAGGGGAGCACAGGTACAGACAGAGGAGCACAGGTACAAACAGAGGAGCACAGGTACAGACAGAGGAGCACAGGTACAGACAGGGGAGCACAGGTACAGACAGAGGAGCACAGGTACAAACACAAGGTACAGACAGGGAGCACAGGTACAGACAGGGGAGGTACAGGTACAGTACAGACAGGGAGCACAGGTACAGACAGGGGAGCACAGGTACAGACAGAGGAGCACAGGTACAAACAGAGGAGCACAGGTACAGACAGGGGAGCACAGGTACAGACAGAGGAGCACAGGTACAGACAGGGGAGCACAGGTACAGACAGGGAGCACAGGTACAACGAGGGCACAGGTACAGACAGGGGAGCACAGGTACAAACAGAGGAGCACAGGTACAGACAGGAGCACAGGTACAGGGGGCACAGTACAGACAGAGGAGCAGCACAGGTACAGGTACAGAGGAGCACAGGTACAGACAGGGGAGCACAGGTACAGACAGAGGAGCACAGGTACAAACAGAGGAGCACAGGTACAGACAGGGGAGCACAGGTACAGACAGAGGAGCACAGGTACAGACAGAGGAGCACAGGTACAGACAGAGGAGCACAGGTACAAACAGAGGAGCACAGGTACAGACAGGGGAGCACAGGTACAGACAGAGGAGCACAGGTACAAACAGAGGAGCACAGGTACAGACAGAGGAGCACAGGTACAGACAGGGGAGCACAGGTACAGACAGAGGAGCACAGGTACAAACAGAGGAGCACAGGTACAGACAGGGGAGCACAGGTACAGACAGAGGAGCACAGGTACAAACAGAGGAGCACAGGTACAGACAAGGGAGCACAGGTACAGACAGGGGAGCACAGGTACAGACAGAGGAGCACAGGTACAAACAGAGGAGCACAGGTACAAACAGGGGAGCACAGGTACAGACAGAGGAGCACAGGTACAGACAGGGATCACACCTGTTCAATACGGCAGGTTTCAGATGAATTAATTATAACTAAATTTAAAAAGTGTGAAATCTGAAAGTGTTGCCGTAGCCGTGGTTACGCGGTGGGTGGCCGGAGCCTCTGATGGAAACTGAACCCATGCCCGGACGATCTGGAAACACACTTAGGTCCAGAATGAGCTGAAATTAGCAGTGAAATAAAACACCTCCAGCCGCTGTTGTTTTACCAAATCACCGCTAACTGCCCATTACTCCCCGTTCAGACTAATGGCTGCACTAATTAAGATAATTCCATAAAAGGCGCCGTGTTTAGACCGAGCTGTGGATGCGCATTAGCTTAATGACACGCTCTAAATGGGGCCAGTGTGTGCGGGTCTTCGGACCGAGCCTGTGGCATGTCGCCGTGTTGACAGGAGCTCTCTGGGCAACATTAGGTTTTTGGTTCTGATCTCATGTTTCACGTCATTTCTCTTCACACCGGAGCAAAAACATCGTCACATTTATCAAAATAAATAAAATAAATGATTATGTGGCGCAGGAGTGATGTCATCGGTGCTAAGTGACGCTAACGAGGCTAGCATAGCGCTGAGAGAAGGGATGGTGTTAAAGTCTTATTCTGTTTAAAACTGATGGAATCAAAGGACCATGAAGTGTGTGTGTGTGTGTGTGTGTATGTGTGTGTTCAGGCCTGTGTGTGTGTGTGTGTGTTCAGGCCTGGTGTGTGTGTATGTGTGTGTGTGTGTGTGTGTGTGTGTATGTGTGTGTTCAGGCCTGTGTGTGTGTGTGTGTTCAGGCCTGTGTGTGTGTGTGTGTTCAGGCCTGGTGTGTGTGTGTGTGCTCAGGCCTGGTGTGTGTGTGTATTCAGGCCTGGTATGTGTGTGTGTGTGTGTTCAGGCCTGGTGTGTGTGTGTGTGTGTTCTTGGTGTTGTCCCAGGTGCTGTGTGTTTGGAGAAAAGCAGCTTCCAACATTAAATACTTGTGAGAGGAAGTGTGTGTCGGGCCAAGGCTGCGCTGCCAGACCACACTGAAACACTTTCCACGTGTTTCTACTTCCTCCGCTTTGCTTTAAACGCTCGCGTTTATGTTTAAAGTGTCGGACTCTCTCTGGACTCACATGTCAGCGCTGCTAGCATCGCTACTCTCTGTACGCACAAACTGTTACGCACACTGTTACACACACTGTTACACACACACTGTTACACACACACTGTTACGCACACACTGTTACGCACACACTGTTACGCACACACTGTTACGCACACACTGTTACATACAAACTGTTACGCACAAACTGTTGCGCACACACTGTTACGCACACACTGTTACACACACACTGTTACGCACACACTGTTACGCACACACTGTTACGCACACACTGTTACACACTGTTACGCACACACTGTTACGCACACACTGTTACGCACACACTGTTACGCACACACTGTTACGCACACACTGTTACATACAAACTGTTACGCACAAACTGTTGCGCACACACTGTTACGCACACACTGTTACGCACACACTGTTACGCACACACTGTTACGTACACACTGTTACGCACACACTGTTACGTACACACTGTTACGCACACACTGTTACGCACACACTGTTACGCACACACTGTTACGCACACACTGTTACGCACACACTGTTACATACAAACTGTTACACACACACTGTTACGCACACACTGTTACGCACACACTGTTACATACAAACTGTTACGCACAAACTGTTGCGCACACACTGTTACACACACTGTTACACACACTGTTACACACACACTGTTACACACACTGTTAAACACTTTTACACACAATGTTACCACACTGTTACACACACTGTTACACACACACTGTTACGCACACACTGTTACGCAAACACTGTTACGCACACACTGTTACGCACACACTGTTACGCACACACTGTTACACACACACACTGTTACGCACACACTGTTACGCACAAACTGTTGCGCACACACTGTTACACACACTATTACACACACTGTTAAACACCTTTACACACAATGTTACACACACTGTTACACACACTGTTACACACACACTGTTACACACACTGTTACACACACACTGTTACACACACTGTTACACACACTGTCACACACACTGTTACACACACGCTGTTACCACACACTGTTACACACAATGTTACACACACTGTTACACACACTGTTACACACACACACTGTTACATACACACTGTTACAAAAACTGTTACACACACTGTTACACACACTGTTACACACACTGTAACACACACACTGTTACACACACTGTTACACACACACTGTTACACACACTGTTACGCACACTGTTACACACACTGTTACACACTGTTACACACACTGTTACACACACACTGTTACACACACTTTTACGCACACTGTTACGCACACTGTTACACACACACTGTTACACACACTGTTACGCACACTGTTACACACACTGTTACAAAAACTGTTACACACACTGTTACAAAAACTGTAACACACACTGTTACGCACACTGTAAGGCACACTGTTACATACACTGTTACACACACACTGTTACACACACTGTTACGCACACTATAACACACACTGTTACACACACTGTTACACACACACTGTTACACACACTGTTACGCACACTGTTACACACACACTGTTACACACTGTTACACACACACTGTTACAAACACTGTTACGCACACTGTTACACACACACTGTTACACACACTGTCACACACACTGTTACACACACACTGTTACACACACTGTTACACACTTTTACACACATTGTTACACACACTGTTACACACACACTGTTACATACACAGACTGTTACACACACTGTTACACACACACTGTTACATACACACTGTTACACACACACTGTTACACACACTGTTAAACACTTTTACACACAATGTTACACACACTGTTACACACACTGTTACACACACACTGTTACATACACACACTGTTACACACACTGTTACACACACACTGTTACACACACTGTTACACACACACTGTTACACACACACTGTTACACACACACACTGTTACACACACACTGTTACACACACTGTTACGCACACTGTTACACACACACACTGTTACACACACTGTTACACACACTGTTACACACACTGTAACACACACACTGTTACACACACTGTTACGCACACTGTTACACACACACTATTACACACACTGTTACGCACACTGTAAGGCACACTGTTACATACACTGTTACACACACTGTTACACACTGTTACACACACACTGTTACACACACTGTTACGCACACTATTACACACACTGTTACACACACTGTTACACACACACTGTTACACACACTGTTACGCACACTGTTACACACACTCTGTTACACACACTGTTACACACTTTTACACACACACTGTTACACACACACTGTTACGCACACTGTTACACACACTGTTACACACACACTGTTACACACACTGTTACACACACACTGTTACGCACACTGTTACACACACACTGTTACACACACACTGTTACACACACACTGTTACACACACTGTAACAAACACTGTTACACACACACTGTTACACGCACACTGTTACACACACACTGTTACACACACACTGTTACACACACACTGTTACACACACTGTTACACACACACACACACACTGTTACACACTGTTACACACACTGTTACACACACTGTTACACACACACTGTTACGCACACTGTTACACACACTGTTACACACACTGTTACACACACACTGTTACACACAAACTGTTACACACACTGTTACACAAACTGTTACACACACACTGTTACACACTGTTGCACACACACTGTTACACACACACTGTTACACACACTGTTACACACACTGTTACACGCACACTGTTACACACACTGTTACACACAGTGACTCTAACAATAATAATGTGACATGTTCGTTTCAGATCAATAAAGTTTATCTTCAACTAATGTCAGAAAGTGCAACAAAGAACCATGTGTGTGTCACCGCTGCACTGACAGGCTGCAGTACCACCCCGGGCCTGTGGGGGCGTACCCGGAAGGAGAATTATTCACTATGGTGTCTTTTTACCTCTCCAAAAAGTGGTTCTCGGTCCAAAAGTGGTTCTTGGTCCAAAAGTGGTTCTTGGTCCAAAAGTGGTTCTTGGTCCAAAAGTGGTTCTTGGTCCTAAAGTGGTTCTTGGTCTAAAAGTGGTTCTTGGTCCAAAAGTGGTTCTTGGTCTAAAAGTGGTTCTTGGTCTAAAAGTGGTTCTTGGTCCAAAAGTGGTTCTTGGTCCAAAAGTGGTTCTTGGTCTAAAAGTGGTTCTTGGTCCAAAAGTGGTTCTTGGTCCAAAAGTGGTTCTTGGTCTAAAAGTGGTTCTTGGTCCAAAAGTGGTTCTTGGTCCAGATGTGGTTCTTGATCCTCTTGGTCCAGATGCTGTCTGAGGGGAGTATATGTTTTTGGACCAGTCTAGTTTAGTAGCTGTGGACTTCAGAATGCACTCTTTAAATGAATGGAGCTGGTGCAGCTAAAGCACAAATGTGTTTTTTCATATTTTCCTGAGGGAGGGGCTGCCAGCGGCCATTTTGAAAAAGCCACAGAAGGAAAAGGTGATGTCACATGAGTTTCAGCGACGGAGATGGACGTGACTAGACATAAACATACAGCTGCTAATGTACAGGTGTAAACATACAGCTGCTAATGTACAGGTGTAAACATACAGCTGCTAATGTACAGGTGTAAACATACTGCTGCTAATGTACAGGTGTAAACATACAGCTGCTAATGTACAGATGTAAACATACTGCTGCTAATGTACAGATGTAAACATACAGCTGCTAACATGTACAGATGTAAACATACAGCTGCTAATGTACAGATGTAAACATACTGCTGCTAATGTACAGATGTAAACATACTGCTGCTAATATACAGATGTAAACATACTGCTGCTAATGTACAGATGTAAACATACTGCTGCTAATGTACAGATGTAAACATACTGCTGCTAATGTACAGATGCTAACATACTGCTGCTAATGTACAGATGTAAACATACAGCTGCTAATGTACAGGTGTAAACATACTGCTGCTAATGTACA